CAAAACTGTCTGATGATTTAGTGGTATTTCTTGATTTTGGAAACGTTTTTTTCTTAATCGAATTCTCAAATCAACTTTTAATTCTGGCAGTTGAAACTTGTTTTTTTTTTTTAATGTTACTTTCAGCAATCAATTCTTAAATGTTTCGCCCACAATTGCCAGCCGGTAGGGGCAAAAAAATGTTTCTTTACTCTCCTATTACTTTTGTTTTCTGACATAAAAAAGAAGTCTTTTCAAATGAACGCCAGTAAATTTCCTGGTTTTTGTATCGTACGGGATTTTTGTCTTTATTGTGGTTTTTTGCTGCTACATTATTGTGACAATTATTGTGGTGTTTCTGCCATCAGTTTCGCAGAAGATCTTTTAGTTTTTCATTTCAGTTAGATGACTATATAATTGATGAAATACTTTCACTGGAAGACGACCAAATGGCTTTGCGAGAAGGCAGCGGTTCAAAAACTCAGCCGGTAAGTGTTTTGCATATTCAGAAGCTGTTAATTGTTCTTTCGCTACAATATTTATCTAAGCATAATTGATTTATATATTGAGATGCTTTGTGTTATTGTTTTATTGTAATAAAAATTTTTAAGCTGTCTGTTAGCTACACATGTAACGACAAGTTGACCGCTATATCTTCGCCTCGTCACGGCGCAGGAACACCACATAGTGGTCGCATATCGAATAATGGAAGCCCAGGTATCAAGTCACTTCTTTTAGCCTTACATTAAAAAAGTTGAAAATAAATAGGAGGTTTTATTTGGTGATACATGCACATTTTTTGTCTTACGCTGTGATTTTAAGGTGGTGTTTCTGGTTCAAGTCGGTCCCCGATTGGGATACCAATAAATTCTTCCTTTCGTCAGGTGGTTTCATCAAGTGCACCGGCCAGTAGTATTGATATGGAGTCTTTGGTTCGTGGTGCTAACATTGAAATCGCTAATGAATCTGACTATCGGGATCGAAGGAAAAAGGATATTCATAATATGAGTAGGTTTAGTTTACAGTTTTTATGGACCATTGACGAAAGAGTCAAGATAAAATCGATATTCCTTCTCACTTTGTTCATGTCGATTTATCGCCACTGATTTTCAGTTGAACGAAGACGACGTTACAACATTAACGATCGGATAAAGGAGCTTGGTGGGATGCTTCCAAAACATTCGGCCGAGTTAGTTTTAAACTTATCAGTAGGTTTGGAAGCATATTTTTAGTGTAATATTATTTTTCTTAGTTTATAACATTGTAGAGAGATGAAGTTAAACAAGGGCACTATTTTGAAAGCGTCTTGCGACTATATTCGTCAGTTGCGGAAGGAACATGAAATTTTGCTTCGTCAACATCAGCAGCAAGCCCGAATGGAGCAAACGGCTAGAATTTATGCTGAGAGAGTTAAGGTAAGTTCTTTTTGCTGTGCTTGCATTTCAACTTTTTCAGTATTAATTTAAACAGTTGAGGTGCGTATTTTTTGAATGAATTCTGGGGAAACAGAGCATCTTTGAAGGTAATACATTATCTAGTTTTACAGGAACTGGAAGAACAGTTACAGAAAAATGGAATTTCTGTTCCTCCGTCGTCGCAAGCATTACCTCCAATTCCATCTCTAACGTTGACAACTCAACGGCCGATAAAACAGGAGCCTTTTGACGATATATCTCCGTCATCATCACATACTCCGACCGGAAGCATTGTCGGTTCCGTCAATTATTTAGTGTCTTTGAATCTCTTTATCATTCGAAAACTTCATTTTAAACCTGTTGAATATATTT